CTTTGTTTTCTCGATATCCAGTGAGAGGCCAAGGTTACAAAGCAGGGTTAGTAATGTGCTATTCTTTTTTATTTCGCCCTCTGAAAATCCCCCTCCCTTCAATAGACATTTGTTTCAGAAAAGTAATTTGGTAAGTTTGACAAGTTTTCCTTCTACAGCACCCAGAGATTTTTTTGGATGTAAAAGTACAAAAACTCCTTGAGAAAGTCAATGTTCTCTGCCTATGAAATGAGCAGGATGGGGACATCTGGATCTCATGACAAGTTACTTTTCTGTTGCAAATAGGAATTGAAATTTTATTAACTGTCTTTTATTGCTTCTTTGTCCTAGTCCTCACAGGGTCCATAAAGGGAATGGCCTCTGCTTGCATTGAAATCCCACAATGCTATCTAAGTGACAACATCTCAGAATATAAGCGTGTGAGTCTTAACATCATCCCTAATTTAGTTTTTCTCCTGTGTGATTTTAAACATTTTTTGCCCATAGAAGCAAAACCTGCATAATCTATTTTACACAATGGAGTTGGCTCAAAAAAGGTTTGACAGCTTGTTGAGTTTGGAACTTCCTTGGACAGCAAAACACACACATATATATGGTTACAGAAGTGTATTTGTTTGTTTGTTTAAAATCACACTTAGTGCATGTGACAAGTGGGATTCTAGGCTTCAAGTATTCATGCCATAATAACTGTTTGGCTAAAATATACTTAACTAATTGTAAGTACCATTCATAACTTGCAATGTGTTGTAAGAGAGTTCCAACACATCCAAAGTCCAAAGACAAATCCAAATCCAAGAGCAAATCAAGCCCGAAGCCTCCATAAAAGCCAAGATGGCTACACTGAAAAGTGTTGTACTTTGAAGATTTCATGAGAAAACGTGACTCATGAGAACGGACAATGATGCTTTTAAGTAGAAAAAGAGAAGGACCGCATTACTGATGCATGCAATGAAGTCACAGGTCCAGATTTGCAAGACAGTTGATCACTTGGTGAACTGGTTTCCAAAGAAGTAGCCATGTTAATCTCTTTGTAAAAAGTTGGAAGGGAGGGTGAAAAGGAATGTCGCATCTTTAAAATTAACTGGTTTTTATTTTAACTTGAGCTTCTGTATATACCAAACTACTTTCAGATGCATTTCAGAGAGACAGGTTAAAAAGCCTATTTATACATCTCTGGGAGTGGGAACGATTGTAATAGGATCATACCTCAGCTATGGGATTGGGATTTCCAAATATAATTTAATTCAGCATTTTTTCTTTCCAGTCTTGTCTTGTAATTTTCTTGTTCAAAGACTGCAACCTGTAAATACTATACTGTACCTCCAGGAATGTTGAAATGTTCTGCAATTAGCTTTTGGATATTGCCGTGCCTGGTGTCATATTTGTGTCTTAATTATCCTCTCGGGCACACATTGCCTTGTTTGTCCAAGTTTAGAGGGTAGAAGAGCATTACTGGCATAGGCAGGCTTAGGTCATATTGGAGAAGGAACAAGTAAACCCACCTCTGGTGTTGTGGGTGGTTATTGGCTCCCGTTACATTGTTTCCAGAGTAGTAGTAGTAGTAATAATAATAATAATAATAATAATAATACTTTATTTATATTCCGCCCGTCTTTCAGAGCGGAATACAGCAGATAAACAGACACAGGCAAACATTCAATGCCTTGTCACAATAAATACAATGAGACACAAATACACAAAGGCAAACGCTTCTCCTTTCATTCCCGGCTCTGGAGACTACGCTTATCTCCGGCTCTGGGGGAGGAGCTATTCTCCATTTCCAAGCCAAGGAGCCTGCGTTGTTTATAGACAACAATGTTTTCAAACTGGTAGAAAGATAAGACAAGCCCTGTCACTTGCCTCCTTCCACAAGGACCTTAAAAACCTGGTGATTCCAGCAGACTTTTCAAAATTATTAACCCTAGGCCCTACCCTGGCTATTAGTTAGGTCCCCACTTTGTACTCTACACACTTCCCCAGCCCTTTGCTACTAGCCCTGGTCTAGCCCTATTATAGCTATTCAGCAGGCCCTGGAAAGAGCTGCAGGTACCACTCTGGCCATTAGGTAAGCCATGCTTGTCCTTTACCCACTCCCTGGGCCGTAGTCTACTTCGTGGTGCTAGCACCGGCCTCTCATATTTGTTGAGGCCCTTTGGAATCTTGGCCATTGGAAGCTGAGCTTCCTGATGTAATTAGTACTGAAGCTGGCTTTTAAATTTTAAATATGTACGATTGTTATATTTGTTGTTGTTGTTAATTCGTTCAGTCGTTTCCAACTCTTCATGACCTCATGGACCAGCCCACGCCAGAGCTCCCTGTTGGCCATCACCACTTCCAGCTCTTTCAAGATCAAGCCAGTCACTTCAAGGATGCCATCCACCCATCGTGCCCTTGGTTGGCCCCTCTTCCTTTTTCCTTCCATTTTCCCCAGCATAACTGTCTTCTCTAAGCTTTCCTATCTTCTCCTGATGTGGCCAAAGTACTTCATCTTTGCCTCAACTATCCTTCCCTCCAATGAGCAGTCGGGCTTTATTTCCTGGAGGATGGACTGGTTGGATCTTCTCGCAGTCCAAGGCACTCTCAGAACTTTCCTCCAGCACCACAGTTCAAAAGCATCTCTCTTCCTTCGCTCAGCCTTCCCTATGATCCAGCTCTCACATCCGTAGGTGACTACAGGGAATACCATGGCTTTAACTATGCGGATCTCCGTTGCCAGTGTGATGTTTTCACTCTTCAGTATTTTATCAGGATTGGACATTGCTCACCTCCCAAGAAGTAAGCGCCTCCTGATTTCCTGGCCACAGTCTGCATCTGCAGTAATCTTTGCACCTAGAAATACAATACACTGCATCCATGTTTTCTCCCTCTATTTCCCAGTTGTCAGTCAGTCTTGTTGCCATAATCTTGTTTTTTTAATGCTTAACTGCAACCCAGCTTTTGCGCTTTCTTCTTTCACCTTGATTAGAAGGCTCCTCAGCTCCTCCTCGCTTTCAGCCATCAAAGTGGTGTCATCTGCATATCTAAGGTTGTTAATGTTTCTTCCAGCAATTTTCACCCCAGCCCTGCATTCGTCAAGCCCCGCATATCACATGTGTTGGGGTTCAGCCTGTGTGTGAACCTGATTCTCTGATTGCTGAACCTGAACCTGATTCTCTGATTGTATTTCCTGATGCTACTGAACATGTATTTTTCCCTGATGGTAATGAAAATGTTGATTCTGAGGTCAGTGGCTTGGAAAGTGAAACTACACATTCTGATGAGAATGTTGCAGAGTCAAGCGGTGATAGTTCTCCAGAGGAGCTAACACCTGGCTTCCTTAATGAGGATAGAAAAAGTCAGATTTGGAAACACAGGAGTGAATCGCAGAGTCTGTGAAGGTCAAGCAGATTAAGGGAAAAGGAAACACAGGTTTCAAAGCTTGGAGGCGTGTCACGAAACAGTTTCTTCAGTTTTAAGTGCCTCTCGCCGGGTTGTCTCGTTAGATCAGGCATCGTTTAGACTGAGGCATTACCTTGGCAAATTTCCCATTTCCCGTGGCCTACATCCCAAGAGGCTTCTAGTGCTCCAAGTACGGTTAGTGGATTGCTAACAGGTTCCAGGTTTTTACAGTGTTGCTTTTGGATATTGATCTAGTTCATGGGTATTCTTGACTGCTGAATTTTACTGTGGCTTTTTGACTTTGCATTTTCTTCTATTTTGTAACCATTGTTTTCCCCACAGTCAAGTGTGGTGGATTGTTATCTTATGGTCTCGTTTCCTGCTCTGGGTTGCAACAACATGATGTGTTCTGCATACAAATTGATTGTTATATAGTACTATGTTTATACTTTATTATAATGACTTTTAAATGTTTTTATGTTGGTAAATGCACTGCTTTACCATGCTGGAAACCACCCTAAGTCCCCTCGGGTAGATGGAGCATTATACAAATAAAGGTTTATTATTATTGGTTGGTAGGAGCTAGGGCTAACAGTGGGAGCTCACCCCGACCTGCAAATTTGAACTGCCAAACTTCAGGTCAGCAGTTCAGCACCACAAGGTTTTAACCCATTACGCCATGCAAGGAAAGGGCCTGAGGCTGTTAGGAATTGTGGGAGTTGAAGTCCAAAACACCTGGAGGGCCCAAGTTGGCCCGCTCTAGCAGTATAGGCTCCATCTTGTTGCCACCAAACCTCCTTTGTGTCCTGAATTCAAATATATTTTCAATATAAAATTCTTCCATTTTGAATTATTCCATATTAATTAATCTCCAAGGGTTGGAGAGTGAATATATAAAGCAGATCAAGCAAAGCAAAGATGCTATTAACACAAACATGAAGGGAAAAACCTGGCCCCAACCAGCACAGCTTCTCCACTACAGCTGACACAAAGGAGACAACGGTGCGCATGCGCGGTACTGTCACTCCTCCAGTATGAGAGGCCAAGGGAAGCAATGAATCAAAGCGACTGATGACGATAAGTCCCCCAAGGGAATGGGCGTGGCCAGACTGAAGCCGCGGAGGCGGGGACTAAGGAATGGGGCGCTGTGATTGGTTCTGCGAGAAAGAAAGACAAGGAATGTAAGGAGGGTGAGGAGGCAGTTGTGTTTTGTGGGCGTGGCTAAGCAGGCCGCAATTGGAGCGCGTGCCTTTGTCAGTCCCCCCGCCCATTCCTTCTTAGTAAGGAATGGAGTGATTTGATTGGTTGTGCCGCTAAGACACAACCAATGGAGGAGGGGGAGAGAGAGAGAGAGAGAGAGTGGAAAAAAAGAAGGCGGAGCCCAACTGAACGCTGTGGGCGTGGCCTTGAGGGAACTCCGCCCCTTAAATTTCAAACCCCGCCTAGTCAGTATGAAATGAAGAGTGTCGTTTCTGGGGGAGAGAAAGAGGGCGGAGCCAAGCGTCGACCGCGCGCTGTGGGCGTGGCCAAGTCAGAGCCGCGCGCCCGAAAAGTAGGCGGGGCCTTGCCAGCGTTCTTTTCCCCAAGCCCCGCCCCTTTGGTTTAAAAGCCCATCCCGCCCGGCGCGCGAGCCACATTAGGAGAGGCGTTCGGAGCGTGAGGTCGTGCTGCTCGCTGCCTGTTTCGCTTCCCCTCAGCCGGCCCTGGGGCTGGATGCGGCCGGGCCTCTTCCTCCGCGACCATGTTCGACAAGACGCGGCTGCCTTATGTGGCGCTGGATGTTATCTGCGTGATCCTGGGTATGTTCTTCCCTCAGCCGCGGTGCTGCTTGGCTGGGCGCTTCCCTTTCCCCTTGGCTGTGGCCAGTTCGCTTGCTTCGTATGCCTGTCAGTATGTATTATCTGCGCCCACATAATCTACCTGAGTGTTGATATGAACCAGTGCGGTTTGTGTGTCTGTGTATATGTGGGGCAGCTTGCCTTCCTTTGCATGCTGACAGCCTCACCTGCTTTGATCACCAAGGCGTTGCAACAACACTCCATCATCTTGTCCCATCCTGCTTTCCGTACATTTCACTCTCTCTCTGCCTCTTTCTGTCTATCCATCCATCCTTAAGTGGAAAGGACTTGGAGGTACTTGGTCACTGTGTTTCTTTTTATCCAATCATTGCTTATTTTATTTAGTTCTATATCTAGACTCAAGTGAGAAATATTGTATTTATTTATTTATATATTTACGACATTTATATGCCGCCCTTCTCATCCCAAAGAAGACTCAGAGCAGCTTACAAGGTATATGTAAATACAATATATTATTGGGTTGTTGTAGGTTTTTTCGGGCTATATGGCTATGTTCTAGAGGCATTTTCTCCTGACGTTTCCCCTGCATCTATGGCAAACATCCTCAGAAATAGTGAGGTCACTATCACTGAGGATGCTTGCCATAGATGCAGGCGAAACGTCAGGAGAAAATGCCTCTAGAACATGGCCATATAGCCCAAAAAAACCTACAACAACCCAGTGATTACGGCCATGAAAGCCTTCGATAATACAATATATTAGCATAGCACAATATTACTAACATATATTCCCATATTGTACTACACCAGTATACTGTAATATTATTAGTAATATTATATGTAATATGAAATATATAATTATTGTATTATTCGTATTATATTGTATTACATTATAATATTATCAATATTATATGTGCATACAATATATTATTAGCACAGCACAATATTAGTATTATGTATTACTACATTGTATCAATATTATATGTGTATATAATATATTATATTATTAGCATAGCACAATATTAATAACATACATTCCCATATTGTACTACACCAGTATACTGTAATATTATTAGTAATATTACATGCAATATGAAATATATTACTATTATATTGTATTATTATATTGTATTACATTATTATATTATTATCAGTATTATATGTGTATACAATATATTATATTATTAGCACAGCACAATATTGGTATTATATATTACTATATTGTACTACACCAGTATACTGTAATATTATTAGTAATATTACATGTAATTCGAAATATATAATTGTTATTTTGTATTATTAGTATTATATTGTATTACATTATAATATTATCAATATTATATGTGTATACAATATATTATATTATTAGCACAGCACAATATTAGTATTATGTATTACTATATTGTACTATACCACTATACTGTAATATTATTAGTAATATCACATGTAATATAACAAAAATACTTATATTTTATTAATAATATTATGAAATATAACACAACTGGTCTTCCATTTGTTTTGTACTTCAGTTCCCTGAATCCCTGATCATTGGCCAAGGCAGCTGAGGCTTCTGGGAGTTGAAGTCCAAGACACTTGGAAGGCTCGAATTTGGGAATCGCTGGATCTAAAGCAGGCAAGGGCAAACTTGGGCCCTCCAGGTGTTTTGGACTTAGGAATTGTGGGAGTTGAAGTCCAAAACACCTGGAAGGCCAAGTTCGCCCATGCCTGCTCTAAAGGAAGATAATTCGGAGTTGGGTTGCTGTGAATTTTCTGGGCTGTGTGTCCATGTTCCAGAAGCATTCTTTCCTGACGTTTCACCCATATCTATGTCAGGCATCCTCAGAAGTTGTGAGGTCTGTTGGATAGGCAAGTGGGGTTTATATATCTGTGGAATGTCCAGGGTGGGAGAAAGAACTCCTGTCTTTTTGAGGCAGGTGTGAATATTGCAATTGGTCACTCTGATTAGCATTGAATGGCCTTGAAGCTTCAAAACCTGGCTGCTTCCTGTCTGGTGGAATATTTTGTTGGGAGTTGTTAGCTGGCCCTGATTGGTTCATGTCTGGGATTCCCCTGTTTATAATGTGTTTTTGTTGTTTATTTGTTCAGTCGCTTCCAACTCTTTGTGATGTGTTGTTCCTTATTTACTGTCCTGATTTTAGAGTTTTTTTTTAAAAAAATACTGGTAGCCAGATTTTGTTTATTTTCATAGTTTTCTCCTTTCTTTTGAAATTGTCCACATGCTTGTGGGGTTCAGTGGCTTTTCTGTGTAGTCTGACATGGTGATTGTTAGAATAGGTTCTTGTGGATTTTTTCGGGCTATAGAGCCATGTTCTAGAGGCATTTCTCCTGACGTTTCGCCTGCATCTATGGCAAGCATCCTCAGAGGTTGAGTTAGTCTGCAGTGCCTTCTCAACCTCTGAGGATGCTTGCCATAGATGCAGGCGAAACGTCAGGAGAAATGCCTCTAGAACATGGCTCTATAGCCCGAAAAAACCCACAAGAACCTAGTGATTCCAGCCATGAAAGCCTTCGACAATACATTGTTAGAATAGTCCAGAATTTCTGTGTTCTCAAATAATATTCTATGTCCAGGTTGGTTCATCAATAGCTCTGCTATGGCTGACTTCTCTGGTTCAGTTAGTCTGCAGTGCCTTTCATGTTCCTTCCCGATGTTTGGTACTTCAGCTCACAGAGTCTCAAATCATTGGCCAAGGCAACTAAGGCTTCTGGGAGTTGAAGTCCAAAAAACTTGGAACAGTTTGGGAATTGCTGGCTCTAAAACAGGCATGGGCAAACTTGGACTTCATCTCCCACGGTTCCTAACAGGCTGCTCTAAAGGAAGATAATTTGGAGTTGTAAGAATTTGTATCAGTAACTACCTAAGAGTGAGAGAAATGAGAGCAAGGTGGCTGAAGTGTTGTGAAGTTAAGACCTGATGGAAAGGTGATTTCAATTTTTTTCTCTTGCATTGCGCTTGTGTTTTAGGAATAATTTAATCCCTTTCATCAGTATTAGGCCAAAACCATCCTATTGTTTACCAATATACAATTCACTCTTATTCTACATGTCTTTACTGATTCTTTACTGATTCTTTATGTAGCTGGTCTTTGTTCTATTTTGAGGCACCAAGAAGGAAGGGTGCATCTATACAAGGCATGGACAAACGCTGGCGCTCCAGGAGTTTTGGACTCCAACTCTCACAATTCCTAACAGCTTATAGGCTGTTAGGAATTGTGGGAGTTGGAATCCAAAACATCTGGAGGGCCAAAGTTTGCCCATGCCTGAACTACACTGTAGAATGAATACAGACCCCAGTTTAACTGCCATGGCTCAGTATCATCTAATCTTGGGAGTTGCAGTTTTACAAGACTTTAGCCTTCTCCACCAGAGAGTGCTACAAATCCCAGGAAGCCATAGCATTGAGCCATGGTAAGTTAAAATGTTACCATTTTCATCGCTTGTATGAAAAAATCTGGAAATATGCAACATGTGCTGCATTCACTCTAAATCTTCTGTTTTGGTCTTAGTGCATGGAATTTATTCTAGCAGTTATCTGAAGAACACTGGTGATATGTGGAATCATCCATTTTAAACCCCAATAATAGCTACCTGTAGGAAGGTGTGTATATTTCAGCAGTCTAATGGTCCCTCCAGACAGACGCTATATCCCAGGAACTGATCCCAGGTTTTCTGCTTTAACCTGGATTATATGAGTCCCCACTGCCAGATAATCTGGGATAAACAGAAAATCTGGGATCAGATCCTGAGTTATAGGGCCTGTCTGGAAGGAGCCTAATACTGATGAAAGGGATTAAATTTCTCTCTCCATGCTTTATGATAATAGCCATGTGTATATTTATAGGGATTTGGAAAGTCTTATATAACAAAGCATCCTTGACTTTGTGATGGACTAATCTCATAGAATAGATATAATATTGGGCTAATGGGTTTCTTTATGTGTTGCTAAATGTATGCCAAAAGTTTTTTTAAATGGCAGCTTACAGATGGTGACCCAGCATCCTTTGGTAGCGCTGTTTCAGGGGTTTATTAAGTGTTATATTTTTACCAGTGCTCAGCTCCCCGCAATTTAATTGCTAGGAATATCATTGGTTATCAATATCTATAGATAATTGGTAGCTGGCACTGAAATAAGGTAGTTAATTAAAAGAATTAAATATTTTCTTGCCATGTAAATGTTAGTGCTTGGTTTTGAAAGAAAAAGGGAAAGACGTATGAGATAATCTTCTATTATTCAAAAGTAATATAAAATTTGAAGGTGTGTTACCTTATCATTTTGGCATTCTTTCCAATTCTGGCAAGTAGAAAATTGCGGGGCAACAAGCCAATCTCAATATAAAAAAATCCACTAAAATTGGTTTACATTTTGAACAATTTAAAAAAACCTGTGTAAAAGAGATGTCTGATATAACAGGTTGCGTTTTTCATTAAATTTTAGTTAAGCCATAATTCGTTTTTATATGTTGTCAATTTTTGTTGTTATGGATATATTATTATATTCAGGCATTGAATGTCTTCCTTTTATGTTTGCAATCCGCCCAGATTCCCTCTGGGGAAATGGGGTGGAATACAAATAAATTATTATCTAATGTCATTTTTGTGTGTTTCTCTTATACAACAATATAGATTCTAGGGCTCTGTTTAAAACTGAAGTGGTGGGAATGAAGACTGAGCTGTGAATTGATAGTCTTAGCCTATTTAGCCTTTGATTAAGTGGCCTTAGTCTAGTCAGCCTTTGACCCCATCTGCAATGTCGAAATGTTTATACTGACTTATCTTTCAGGGTTTTGTAACGATTACAATCAAATCATGGGTGTGATCTTGAATAATCTAATGTGCTATGTCAATACATTTCCTAATTGCAAGACAGAGTAATTTTTAGAACTGGCCTCACGTATCTTAGCTAATGTGTCTTGATGACTTAAAGGCAAATCTCCCAGTCTAATCATTTTAACAGAAGTGCTTATGAAAATAATTGTTATA